TGCTCGATGTCTGGGGGCAAAACTTTCACATTGAATGGGTCATTTAGAGTATTTGTTTGGATTAATTTTGACACGTTTTTTATTTTTATTTGTCTAGATTTTTAAAATGTGTGAATATTTTCTTTCCATTTATTAATAAATTCTAACAGTTTATTTATTCTATTATTATTCCAGTCCATTTTCAAGTATATTTTAATTCTTTTTATTTATTCATATTCTGTTTTCAGACTTTTTTTAATTCACAATAAATTCTCTGACACCATATATTTATATTTTATTTATGGGATTTTTCTATAGAAACTTGTACATTAATTCATTATTTGAGTTATTTGCTAGTTGAAAATGGTGAAATTATTCAAAATTTGGGAAGATATCTTTGGGGATAATATAATAAACTTTTTTATACTTTTATTATTATTATTATCCTGAAAGACAATGTTCAAAATAAAATTTTACTGTTAACTCCTGTGATGTATTTTACTTGGCGTAAAAAAAAGAGACTAGTGCGTGTTGCTTAATGAAATGCTACGTAAATGAGATCATGGTTTGATTAGGATATGTACTTTTTATACTATCTGGCAGTAAACACATATCAACCAGATTCATCTAAAATATAGAGATTTACAATATCCTCAGAAGTGTAAGGGAGAGGGGTTACCATAACTTGTCACAATATGAAGGCGATACGCATTATAAACTAGTGGCAATATCAATTGTATTAACACAGTCCTAGAATCTATTCGAACTAAGTTCTGTAGTTAATTATTTGATGAAAATATATTTATGATTTAGTGTTAGGCTATGATTTCACTAATTACCAACATAAACTATCAACCATTAACATTTTTCTGAATTGAAAGGTTAGCCCAAAATATAAATGTAGCCATAATGGTACAAACAATATGTTTAAAACTATGTGTACATATGTTGAAATACTCTTATGGAACATGCTTTATACCTGAATTTGACAACGTAGGCTTTAATTTAAAATCAAACTATCTGAATAATAGTTAAAAAAAGTAGTAGGTATTATATATTTCAGTTATTTATATTGTTTGCCGACTTATCTATTAATGACTTGTATTGAATTTAATTTGAACAAAGACACCCATCTAGAACATATTTCATTGATATCTCTAAATTTATACAATTATTATTAATATTTTTTTTTACACATATACAGACACACACATATATATGTCTATATCTACATCACATGACATCATCGATTCACTCCAATATGAATTTTTTTTGCTTCATTACAACCAACAATAACAATTGTTGCACTGATTCCCAATTTATTTCTATGCTTAATGTAGAATATAGAGAGAACAATCAAAGGATGCGCGTAGTTATAGTTGGGGCTGGTTTGTCTGGTCTTACTTTAGCTGTTTTCCTTCGTAGACTTAACGTCGATTGCATTGTTTTGGAGCAGGCACCGTTTCTTCAGGCACAATATACTCCCCCATTCACCTTGTTTGCAAACGCTTTGAGCTGTTTTAAGGCTTTTGACATAGACTTTTGCTTTAGTCCAGGAAAAGTTGAGCCGGAAGAGTTCTTTGGTATTAAGGATGAGAAAGGAAGATGGCTCTCTCGCATAAGAAACAGGAATGTTTCCTTACGTGTACTTGGTTCACAGGACGCTATCCCCCTCACGACAGCTTCGCCTGCCAATAGTGAATCCATTGTCTCGAGACGAATAGCAGAAGATCGAAAGATCGAAATGGGGTTGGTACCTCTGCGAAAGACGCTACCGGCATACTTCTTGAGAGAATCACTTCGACGCAATATACCTGAAATCAAGTTCAACGCAAGGGTTGTGGACCTTATGCCTCACGAGGGGATAAAGGGTGGAGTCTATGTACTGATGGAGGACGGCTCATCAGAATGGGGTGACGTTGTGGTAGGCGCCGATGGAATGTGCAGCACCATTCGGAAGCTATTGTATCCAAACGAGCATATAGGGACCTGCTCTCAGTCTTTGGGGATGCTGCAGATCGACGGTTTTGTAAAGATGCCTCACTGCCCATTGGGCCTTGAACATCCCGTGGTGCTATGGGGGCATCAGCGGACCTTGACGGTAGTGCCTCTTCATCGATATGGCGACAATTGCATCGCTTTCACTGCTTCTCTTTACAACGCGTCTAGAGAATTAATGCAGTTCACGGATAATATGACCAACGAGGAAGTTTTAGCAACATCTCAACTGCTAATGAAGCGCGAGTATTCGTCCTTTTTTGGTGAGCTAGAAGAACTTCTTTCTCGGGCAAACCTTGCATTCCCTACAGAGGTGCTGGAGGTCCCTGTAATGCCGCGTTGGTACAATAAAAGAGCGGTCCTTATGGGTGAGGCAGCCCATGGCTCTTTGCCTTGTTTTTTGAATCAGGATGCCTCCTTGTGCGTGGAGGACGCAGCAATCCTGGCGACGGCCTTGCTGGATGTGCCTTTGTCTCGTGATTGTGGTTTTGAGTATGCTTTTCAGCAATACGAGTCTGTCAGGCGTGACCGTGTTGAGCGCTATATTCGTCAATCACGCCGTGCTAGAAGATTCACGACTACGCATGCACTACTGCGCAACACGGTATTGCGTTTGGTGCCATCTTACTGCATAAATCTTTCACAAAAATGGCTGTCAGGTTGGTCCTACAGTGCTCAGCAACTTGAAGTTGATCCCAAATCTGCTATGGAGACGGCATTCCGTTAGAGCAAACTATATTTTGACAGGTATTGGGATCCGAAGAACATAAAGGAAAAGGGGTCTCCTTAAAGGATTCATTGTTGGTTTGGTCCTTACTTATCCTTTTGATATTAGAAATCTAGTTAACGATGTGTCGATAGAGGTCGGTTTTTAAATTATTACCCAATTAAAGTTCTAAATAGTGATCTCTCAAAAATTATTTTGACTTGTTTTCGGAGTTTGTATAAGTGTACATAAATATGCATTAATGGGTATGCTTTTATATTATTTTTATAGGCTAAATTCAGTTTCACATAAGGGCAAACTGTCATTGTGTGATGGATAAGTATTTCCTTATTATGTTATGATTTTTTTTCTGTTAAAGTAGTGGACATGTGGCGCACGTGTCAGCGTTTTTATTCTTTTAATGCTATTCAGTAATTTTGCTTCTTTATAGTGTATAATAGATGGAGAGGGCAATCTATCGTTTATTATTATTAACAAAATAAGATAAGGGAACAACCGATATCATTACAACAATGGCGCTCTGCAACCGAAATGTTTTATAATTAATTTCAGTGGATTACATGCAAGCATAGCGGTGACATATTTTGTCGCACATATGTATGAAACTTACAGAGTTACTTGGAAAAAACATTTTAATAAGTATATTGTGTTTTCATGTCTAATATGAATAAAGTGTTTATATCTTTCCAAGGTCATTAGAAATAGAATGGTTGACTTTTCCTTCTAAAGATCTTATCCCTACGTCTTTTCTGAATCGATTATTATAGGACTAATGCTGATATTGTTTCCATTTTCCCGTTTATTTATTCTCCATGACATAAAGTTAGGATAACTAAAGATATTACGTTTTATATTTATTTGCTTCTTTTCAATGGAAACATACCATTACGAGGAGGTTTTACTCTCCGATATGCTTGTGGAGGATGGTAAACTTGTATACCCGTGCCCATGTGGTGATTTGTTCGAGCTCTCATTCCAAGATCTTTCAGATGGGGCTGATGTCGCACAGTGCCCAACGTGTTCTTTAACAATCAAGGTGAAGTATACCCAAGAAGAAAGGGCACATTTTCTGAATTCAGAGGGGTTATCCATTCTCATTGCTTCAAGTGCATAAATAAAAGATCACTATAACCATCTTTTTCGATATTTTAGGACCTATATCATTTTATTTTCCATATTATGTTTCACCCTGATCCATGTTAGGACTTCACACTGAAGGGATTTACTATTATAATTAAGTCAATATCTTCTAAGGATAGCAACTAAAAAGTAAGCAACTGAAATCTAATTTGTATGATGCAATACGTGAATTTAAGTAAGTGTAATCTTATGACCCCCCCCATTTTTTATTATTTTTTAAGAATCGACTATGTGTACTCCGTTTATACTCTGATATCTTCCTTTTTATGTCCTCTTTCTACATTTTGAAAAATAACTTGAAACTGTAGAAATATATTAAACTAACGATCACGTCAAACAGAGCCGTTGCGCTAAGACAATCAAAGATACACGGATTATAAAGCGGTGCCTTATTCTAATGCTTCGACGCATTGCGCATCTCTCTCTCTGCTGTAGTGCGGCATACGCCAACCACCGTTGTGTGACCGTCAGCCAAGAAACGCGTGAATGGCTGACTAATAACCTAACAGCTTTGAAGGAGGAATGTAAAGGACAGGGGCTCGACTTGGCCGACATGAGTGATGCCACCAAAGCCACTTCATCCTCTTTGCAGGAGTGTCTATCAAGTTCGAACGTGCAAGATGCTGCATTTAAGACGATGGTTGAGTCCCTGTCGGCTTCAGTCAAAGTCTACAACAACCGACTCAATAATTTAAAAAATGAAGTGTGGACAGTCCAGACTAAGGTTGATACGCTACTGAAGATGTTGTGGGGTACTGAGAATCCAAAAGGTGCCAGCTTTGAGGCGCCACCTATTCCGAGCTCCACCTCTACTGCTCAAAGGGTACCCTCAGGCAATGGGGAGAGATCCCACATTGAGGGGTCTTTGGTTGATGAAGTGCGGCACAACACGTCCTGTGATGGGACCTTAGAAGGGGAAAAAGTAAATGTGGAGCGTGTAGTTGGTGAGAAGGTGCCAGATAAATCCTATAAAAAGTCTCAAGGTATGGTTGACAAGAAAGAGGAAGAGATCGAGGCCGAAGTCATTGAAGTGGAGCTCGATCCTGGTTTTAATAGTTCGGTTGGTGATAAAAAGATTACGGACATTACTAAAGAGCTTTACGAGCGGGGTGTTGATTTCTCAGATTGCCTCGATGCTAAGTCGCTTCGTCAGCGCTATGACGATGTTCTCAGTGGAAAGATTGCGAGTCAACCCCCCTCTTCGTCGTCGTTATCGGCCACAGATAGTTCTTCTGTGAAACCGTCAGCAACTAATACCGATCGGCCCTATGCGTCTCCGCGGCTTCAATATAGCGAGGAGCCGTCCTATATGCCCCCGCCGCCCAACACCGGAGAGGCAGGTCTGGCCCACGACCCATATCCTAATGCGACGCGGAAGATGGTGGACGCGATGAAGTTTGTATGGCAAATTAAGCAAGAGCTGTCCAGTGAGAGGGGTATAGATCCTAATACCGTGGATTTATGGAGCGGTAAGACAAAACTGGAGGACCACAAACGGCTTTATGACTACCCCACCGCGCAGAGTCATCCGATCGAAGTCCGCCAAAAGGGTGATATGCCACACTAATTGGAGGTATTTTAGAGAAGATAAAGCTCAAAATCGGTGAAGGGGTCCGGGGATGTGTTACTCACATAAGATATGAACTGAACAATATGCGAAGCTTCCCCATCTTATGGGGGTTTCTGGTAAAATAGTGACTAATTATTCAATTTATTTAATATTGTGCTGTTCTTCCTTTTTCTTTATTTAGCTTAATGAGTAGCATTTTGGAGCACTAAAATCATTACATAGGCCACTGGCATTTTTTGTGCGACAGAAAGTGAGTAACTATTATCGTTTTTTTCACTAAGTCAAATTTTCTTTGGATTATCTTTTTAATCTTCTAAAGGATTAAACTGTTTGGGGATTAAAAACTTCTACCTCTTTTGCCCTTTAAACGTATGCGTAATATTATGTGCGCTGGTACCTTTTTCTTTGTCTGGAGCTTTTTTTTTGTCTTGTACTTTCATAGTCCTAGCGTTCTTTTTACTTTACTTTACTATCAGATTTTGAAATGTTGCTATATCCATTATCCTAAGCCTTCAGTATTAATTCGAGAAAACTGAGCTTATTCTCACAGGTGAATTTGTGTTTTTTAGCCATTTCACTGACAATACCACTTTTTTTGTAGATGGCTTATATCTTCTCATCACACGCCATAGATTTTAAAATGGAGCCATTTTTCTGAAAGCAACATTAGCATCCATGATGCACGGTGCTACCAGTTTCGAAGTTGCCCTGCTATCTCAAGAGTACGATCAATTTTTACCCAAAAATATATTCATTCCAGAATATCATTCACCATAATTATTGTACATTTTAAAATTTCTTACTGCTTGTATTTATTTTCCTTGTCACACGACGATATGCGATGTGATGTGATTTTTTTTTCATTTTCTCCTAAATCCAATGTGTTTTTACTTAAAGAAAAAGGGAGGAGTAGAGTGTTGTTTTAAATATTCCTACACAAGTTAGCAACCAATATCTTTTCATAACCTTGTGTAACTAATACTATGCCCACGACACCCAGGGAGTTTTCGTCGACAGCTGGGAAGAGAGTTGAAGGCAACTTGCGCGGCTTTCATTACCTCATTCCAGAGGTCTCTACTGCGACCAAGTCAGTGATCGCAAAATCTGACAAGCGCTCACGGAGGAGGAGAGACATTTGAGCGTGCTCGTATCCGCAAAAAAGGTGACCTTTTCTTCAGATCCAAGACCTTGTGTACTACCACAGGCCGTCATTTTACTCTGTTGCGGATTCATTTACTATTAAAACAATGGTCCATTTTATGCGAAACTGAAAAGTCTAATAGACTTACTCTAGTAAGGATCTTTTATTTACTAATATATGAATTTATCATAAGGCAATTAGAGCAGTGGGACCGTTAGGATTCGTTTCTTGCCTCCATTATTGGGTTTGGTGCAAAATAACTAACTCAATATGACATGGCATAATACGTGAAACTCTTCAGATTCAGGATATTAATGTCTGATTGACCCCTCGACTTTACTAAGAACATTTGTATTTATACGAGAAATAGCTTCTTTTTTTTCTTTTGGGGTGGCTACATCCATTCAGATACCCATCTAAATCATATCCCCCCCAAAGTTCGTAAGAGCCAAGCATCAATACAAGTTACCAAAATGGTATCATACAGAGGACGCGCCTTAAATGATTCTACGAGAAAGAATTGGCCTTGCATGACGCAGCGCAGCCTGGTAAAGAGAGCAATTTGAATGTTTCGGAAAGTGTAACCAATAACATTAGTCATTGACAAGCCGCATGCATCATTCCATTCACTAGTTTCTTCCATTATTATTTCCTGATTTGAGGGAATTGGTGCGATCAGCTGGAGGATGACTGCAGCCCAAGTGATCGTATCCAGCTCACGGCACGTTTTAATTTAGGAGATAATACTGTGATTGGATGCTGATATTGTAAAAAAGAATAACAAGGTACCATGTACTTTATGTGGCTTTACAACTTTGTGTTATGATCTTGCGTGTCCATTATCTTTATTAGCAATTATTACTTCCACTACACCTTTTGGGTGCCACTTAATATTACTATTAGGTTTAAATGGACAGCTTATTTTGAAAATTACAGCTGTGTGTGCCTTTTTCCCTTATAAAATAGTGTAATGGAGTTATTTTTGAGCATGTGACCCCTAGTTGCTGCGCGCACATTTGTAGGGATTACTTTTGAGGCGCATTTGTTGTGTATTTTAAAAAGTACTTGTGGTGTATCCAGCCTTTACAGGTCTTTGTAAAAGTACATTGTGAGGAATATTGACGATGTCGATCGGATGCAAAGTGTTATTGATTCACTAATGTAACGGCTACTTTTAATTCTGAACTTCCCACAAACAGGGTAGCCCAAGAGGTGGTAGCCTCAATGCTCCCTCCTCCTACCCCACACCGGGGAAGTAAACTCTCTAGTGGCCCCTCCCATCTACAGGGGTAAATGTTGTACCCTCTCCTGTGTTCAGTAATCAATTTCAGTTACGGTGGAAAGTTTGTCGGGTTCTAGGAAAATATTTGACCAAGCAATTTGCATGCAGCACAATAGCTCCATTTTGGCCCTCCATATTTTGTAAAGAGAAACAAACTATCGAGCTGTCCAGTACGGAATTCAACTTCGTTTGATGCTTGAGAGTCCCAGAGTCTTTCTTCAGTTTGATATTTTTTTTACGCTATCCTTCATGCAAAGACCTGCCCTTATTATGGACCGCGACAAAATACCGGTCCTTGTGGGAATCAAGACAACGTTTTTTTGTAAGTCACTCTCAATTGGGAAAGTTCTTTGCATTGTTTCTTAGGAAACACCACAAATAGTTTCCACACTCACATTGACTCGTTGTGTTTTTGAAGGCCCTATTCAATAGGGACCATGATATAGTCAATCGACCGACCAACGTCGATCAGATGGATGTAACGGTTCTCGACTTCTGCAGTGTAACATTTGGTACCTTGGGCGATTTTGAGCGACATTTTACAGTTAGGGGGAATAAAACTACTGTGCACAGTTTAGATTGTGATTCGATGGCTGATTGTTCTTGAATGAATATAAACCATGTATTTCAAGGCGAACTCCCTATTAGTGCGATTTTTAATTTTACTACGGTTGTTTAGTATTTGATCCGATTGTATATCCTGGACTTTATTTGGAATCCGGTATTTTAGTAGGAGATTAAATTATCCTTTTTCCATTTTGTTTTATTTCAAATTTTCACCTCTAAAGAGAGATATTACCAATTTGACAGTAGCGTGCGACGCTTTTATTTTCTGTTCATTTCGGTTTATATTTTTCCTAATTTAATTAAGGGATGAGCGGTATTGAGATGGACAGCATGTGGCTCCAGAAGAGCATCACTCTACCGGATCCATTGCCCAATGATAACGGTGCTTCGCCTGACAAAAAGGAGTCACTCCCAGAGAGGACTTCGCCTGAAGAGGGTGGCACGATTTCTTCTGAGCCCAAAATGAGCACGCCAACACGATGTTGCGTTGACAAGAAACCACAAGCTGAAGTCGACTCCACCAAGATGGCCCTCAACACCATTTCATTTATTGAGAGCACTCAAAGATCGTCTATAGCACGGCACTCCATACGGGCGCCTTTTCCCAATGTCGGATGTATTGCAGCTCAAGAGTACGATAAGCTGCGGTCACTGTACAGCCAAACCAAGCGCGAGCTTCTCAAGGTATCCGATATTCAAAGAGATTTGGAGTTTGCCCGCTTCGAGATGAATCGCACACAAGAAGAGCTAAAACTAGCCCGTAAAAACAACGAAAGTCACAAGAAGGAGCTCGAAGATGCGTTGGATCGTGCTGAAAGGGAGCACCGCGCGAGACTTGCAGCAGAGTCTGCAGTAAATGATGAAAGAGATATGTACGCAAAAGAAATCAACTTCCTCAAGAAGCGAATTGAGGATCTGCGACAGGACAATAGTAAGAGATTGGAAGAACTGAGCCAACAACAGGAATTTGAAAGTCAGAACTGTCTTCAGACGATGCGTGAGGAATTGGACGTGGCGGTAGGTGAGATTGAGGATATGTCCCAAGAAATTACTGGCCTGAAGCAGAATAATCAATATTTAGAAAAACAATACACCGAAGCATTGAACAAATTACAGAGGGCTCATCAAGATGTTGAAAATTGGCGAAAAAAGTCCGAAGCTGCCACCACTCGTTGCTCTCAACTTGAGGAAAAGCAACAAGAGGACCTAAAGCGAATCAAGGAGGAGCAGGAGGAGGCCATGCAGGCCCAACATGTCCTCGCTGATGAGCGCGTGCGGCAAATAACAAAAGTCAAAAATGGCATCATCCAAGAGCTTGAGGAGGACTTGCACCAGTCGAAGGAAAAGCTGCGGGCGCTTGCCGATGATGATGCGGCCTTGCGCCACACCAATGCGAAACTCTCCGAAGAAATGGAACAAGTTTCCGCGAAGCACGCAAAGGAACTGCGCCATACTACCGAGGAGTATCGTCTGGCCCTGAGCGAGAAGGAACTTCAGGTAGAGTCTGCCTTACGTGCAGCCAAAGGGAGTCGTGTGGCCGCGGCTGAGGAAAACCAGTCCATGCAACGGCAGCTTTCCAAAGTCTCCGAGGAGCTTTCCACGATTGCAGTGGTCCTAGCTCAGCGAGAGAAGCAACTTATGGAAACCGAAAAACAGTTGAGCACGACAAAAGAGAGGCAACTTGAGCTAGAGGATGAAACCACTCGTTTGGTCCGCGACGCGGAGGTGCACGGTGCCGCCATGGTGGAGGCCAATGAGCGCATTTTAAGACTCAACGAACAAAAGGACATCTTGGAGGAGGGCTACTCTAACGATCTGCGCACAGCCAAGGAACGGATCCACTCACTTGAGGAGTCCCTGATGTCGTGTCGGGACGAGTTGTCCGCGTTTCGCAAGGAACATATGAGGTCCACTGATGGCGATCGTGCGGCTACGCGGCAGTTACGCGCCGAGTTGGCGGCCGCAACGGCAGATAGAGACCGCTTTTTTCAGGAAATACAAGCCAAGCAGCATGAAGAAGGGGAACTGCGACAGAAATATTTGAGTGAATGCCAAAAGTCGGATACTCTTAATGTGGAGCTGGCTGCTACCATTCATCGCTGCTCATTACTGGAGAAACGCCTGGAGATTGAACTCCGACGGCGGATCACTGGGATAAAGTCCATGACACCCATGAAAGGTTCCCAGAGTGGCCACTGCCAACCCAAGCTGCGTAGCGCATCTTCCGTGAACATCCCATCGTCGGGTTCCCGTTCGATGAAACGTTCTCGTACTGAAGATGCGCGAGTATTTGCTATCAGTGGGTTTAATGGCAATGACCTTTTTCTCTCGATCAAACAGCTACCTAACGTTGCGATTGCGGAGTGCAAATCCAACATGCCAGTTCCTTCCAATCTCACGCATCTCGTCACCAATGGAGAACTTACTATCAAGTTACTGACAGCGCTGGTTCGAGGGTGTTGGGTTCTACCGGTGTCGTACGTTGTAGAGTCCCTTAACCAACGAACATGGCTAAGTGAGTACGATTTCGGGTTTCAGCATGAGTTTCCACCATTGCTTAAAAAGCGCGTTTTTTGCACCAAGCTGTTTGTTGCGTGCAAAAACTACAGTGTCACGACGATGTTACTGTCGGAGGGGGGCGCCGTCACAGTGGACAGCGCTGAGGATGCTGACATTGTGCTCTGCACGAATGATGAGCTTCTGCATTTCGAACGGGGTATGAACTGGGAAAAATTGGTTGAAGTGATATACCCTGTCCACATTGAGTAACTATTTTCATATTTTTTCCTTTATTTTACTGATCATAAATACCATAAAATTATTGCCGGAGTGCTTAGCAGAATTCAGTTTTTTTTTTCACCCTTAGATATTTTTCGATTCCCTTCTGAGTTCGTTGTGCCCGTGCTTATCAGATATTTTGCGCACTATAATCTTTATATTAGAATTTTTAGATCCAACGCCTAATGATTATGGTTGATTATTATTAATATTATTTCATTATTGACGATTACGATCTTTTTCGGTAAAGTAAATCAACAATCAATCTTATACAGTGGACTTAAGCATCTGTTAATGAAGCTTGTTGCATTTTTTTTTAACTTTATGAGGGATTTGGATAGCTCTATGGAATAAGTCAGTTCTCAGCAGCAGCATGGTTTAACTTTCTTTGTAAACTATCTTTTGCCATCTGATTGACAAAGACATAAGCATTTCAATAGAAAGCGCAAGTTTGACGTCACTATACAATACTGTCCATATTAATTCAGTGGGGCTGAACTTGGATCTATATTTTCTCCCTGATTTCTTTATAGACTACACAGCGATGGACATTACAGTCTGCGGAGGACTGTGTTTTGCTCTTATCGGTTCTTTCTATGTATGCCCACATGACTTCCGGTTTTTCAAAGTTGCCCTTCAAGATCTCCACAGCGCCGCCACAGACGCGTCGGTGTACGTGGATCGTGACAGCACCCGTACAATCCTGAAACGATCGGTCTCATTTACAAGTGTAATCTGTGGGAGTTTTCTGTACCTACGGAGCGTCTCCAAAGCCTCTGTCGAGATTTCTGATAAACATCCCCTTGTTCTAATGGTACAGTGTGTGGTTTTGACTTCGATTCTTTTCCTTGGCCCTATTGTCGAGCATCTTGTATCTTTTGGGATTTGGTTCGAACCCGAGACACCCAACGAGTGGCTAATGCTATTCCGCAATGTTTTTCTATGCCCATTTGGCGAAGAGATCTTTTTTCGAGGCCTTTTCTTTCACGTTCTTCGAAGTCGAACCGCCACACAGCAAATTCTTATTTCATCCCTTCTTTTTTCTCTTTCCCATGCACACCTGCTCATGATTCATGCCGTAGACGAATACCGCGTCGCTCTCGAGAATGGAGAAAAACCCAGAAATGAACTGGAACGGATGTGCTGGCGGCGTTCGTTGCAAAAATTCTACTTTCACTTTTTCTTTACCTTCATCTTTGGCATATTAAATGGGTTTTATTACAACACTGTATGCCGAGGAAGCGTTTTGGCTCTCGGTGCAGCTCATGCATTATGCAATCTAGTGGGTGCGCCGTCGTTTCGTTTTGCCCGGGATAATACGTTTTCTATTAAAAAACGATTCGTATGTGGTTTTTCCTATGCCATTGGTGTCGGGTCATGGTACCTTTTGCGGCAGGCCTTATAAAAAAAAGTTGTATACCCTGTTCAAATGATAGATAAATGTTGACTTGTCCTTTTCAACACACCCCAACCTATATACCGAAAAAGGACTGTTGAATAACATTACGTTTTATCCAACACCTGCATGTTGTATTTCAAAAGAGTATTTCCTTCCAACTTTATGTTTCACAGACCGACCCACCTCTCCCATTCAGTAGCGTAAAATTACATTTCAGCGTCTATGAGTGGATGTATGCCAACTTTTTTCTTTATTTTCTACTTTATGTTTCATCAAAAGAATCCTAAACGAATATGGGATTCATTTTTTGATGATAGTTTTTTAACCTATGGGGTCAGCCTTTCAATTGCTCCGTGATGCCTAGCGGGGGGTGTACAAGAGCGCAACTATCCATTTTTATTCCCAAGCAAGCATACATCTTCATTTTTGGAGGAGGGTGGCACTGGTGATTCGGGGTCTTCCCCGGGGCGACAATTGGCCATATCGATTCTTCCTAAACGCGATCTTGTGAGGGGTCCATAGGCCGTAACAAACGCCTTTTCGATGTTCACCGTGTCGAGTTCTTTGATCACTGACGAAAATCATTGGGGATTGAGAGGCGGTCTTGGAAATTTTGCAATAAGTGACGATGTATAGCCTATTTTCTGAACTTGGACGCAGACTAGCTATTTTCCTATCCATCTTCCTTTTCTTTCATTTGAAATGGTTTAGATATTGCAATAACTCACATTCTGTGTGCTTTATTTAGTGACATTATTAATACATTTTAATACTTTTACAGGACGTGGACTGGGGGAATGACACCATTAATGCTCTCACTACGAAAGCGGTATAAAGGTAAAAATTTTAAGGGTCGTCTCAGGCGGTCGGTTGTCGCTGCATTTATCGGCGCACTTTTCATAGTCTTTTGTCTATTTTACCTTGGTGACTCGATTCAAATCTCCTCTGAACCCTTTGCACTTTCCAAAGATGACATGCAGAATGTGTTTGTTCATACCACAGGGGCTCGTGTCGTCATCTTCGTTATGAGTGATAGAATTGATCATACGCTTTGCTACTCAGTGGGCTCAGCCTACCTAAGCGGGCTTCCTGTGGTGGTAGCTGGTTACCAAATGGAATACAAAGGGTTTCTATCCAAGTTCGATTTCATGGAAAGGGCCATCGAGAATGCGCAGCTGAATCCGGATGATGTTGCCATTTTAATGGATTCCGACACCACTTTTACAGGTGTGGACATTCATCCATTTCTTGATCGTTTCATCGCTCAGTCCGCCGCAACACCGGAGGAGCTGGACGCACTGGCCGTGCGGCAGGGCCGTGCGATGGCACCGTTTATCGTTAGCGCTGAGGCAGGCTGCTGGGCAGGAAATGTGTTTGAATATCATATGGGCTGTAAATTAGGCTATGAGAATAACTATGCCAAAGTACGGAAGTTTAATGCCGAACATCTGGAGCACGAGCTCGTCTCGTCCTTTGACTTATCATCGCATCGGTATATCAACGCTGGTATTGCAATTTCTCGTGTGTGGGCGTACAGGGAGTTAGTGCAGAAGGCGCTTAATTTAGTCAAAACACAACCTGCAAAACATAAGCCCGAAAATGGATGGACCTGTGATCAGTCTATTTTAGCAGCGCTGTACCTGGATCTCTTAACCTGGGAGGCCGAACAGGATGTTTTCTCGATGCCATTGCTTGAGCGACAGGCGGCACGGTCCACTTACGGTGTGCGTGCAGGTTTCATGAGTTTAGATTATGCCAATGAGCTTTCAGCTCCTCGAACGATGGTTTTAATGCACCTAACCGTGATGCACGATAAAGATTGGGCGAAGTACTTGCCACAGTATGGAATCGGACACACACACTCACAAAAGATAAACGATTTCAAGGCAGTAATTCGATTTGTAAGTGATCTTTATAAGCGAGCATATGCCGCACACGGTAAGGAGATTTACACGAGGCTTGCCGTGCCCAGGTGGGTGAATGGGAAAAGGACCTCCACTAAGACCTTTATCAAGCTCACGCCACCACTTTTGGCGACTAATCCGAATCATATAGATGGAAGTAGCAACAACGCGCGTCGCACGTTCCCAGTGATTTATCATGCCGCAGGTGATGAGGTAGACTACACGAAAGTAGAAAAAATGGAGTATGGCGCCATAGGTGCGCAGTGGCTTGTGCCGATGGTATACAACCCGCAGGTAGAAAAGGAGACCATAAAATACCTGGCATCCATGCCGTTGCTTCTATCGACACATAACTCCATTATTCAAGATTCCTACGATGCAAAATGCGGTTTCCCATTTAGAGGAACTATTGAAGAGGTGCTAACTGCCTAAGTCATCTTTTTTTTGGTCAATATACACTGTGACATTTTTTTTCAATGTCCTATCGATCCATTTGAGGTAATCTCATGAAGGGTGGTATGCCAATCGAGTTATGCTATCCGAAATGCTTTCCTGGCTAAAGCTTGTGAGGGAAAATTCACAACGGATGAGGGCTTCAGTTTACCCTTCCGTTGTTCATATATAAATATGCGATCCTACTCTAGGGTTAAGGTGGTATATGTAAACATATTTTGCCAATCCCACCAGTTCTATTACTTTCATATGGGCAGGTATCTCTGGTGGATAACATCCAAATTTTTAATGTAACTGTAATTTTTTATTTACGGTGAATACAGGTTCCTAAATATAAAACTCAAATGTTGCTTATCTATGTAATATTATCGCACAAAATATATGATGAAAATTAGATCTTAGATCTAATAATCTTAATTTCAAGTTATATGGAATGTTTTTTTAATTTGATCTTTTTTTTGAAGACTTTGGTGGGACCAAGGAAGTTGCTTTGTGTATAGATACGTACCCAAAGCACGCTTTTTCGCTTTATGAATTCTTTTTTATCAACGTGGAATACCTGTTTAACATCTTGCATCTGTTTGTGAGGGACGTCTGTTCGTATTTTCTAGTTTGGGACGTGCTTCTTCTTTTTTTTTAGTTTAACAGTTCATTCTACGTTAATTTAAGATTAAAAGTTCGTTTTGATAGACCAAATATAAAAATTTGTTATAAACTAAGCATGCGGTCCTAAACAAACGAATGAATCTATTTTTATTACATTGCAGATAATATGAAAGAAATCAACTGAAAGAATTGAGAAATCTTTCAAAAACTCAGTACTTTCTTAGATCAGGTTCTGTTTTCACCGATATAAGTTTCCCCTATATATTTTTTTTGAGTGATCATACATCAAATGATTTCGTTAATTTGAAACCTGCTACTTCGTGATGAACTTTTTATTTAGAGGAGTTTTTGATATTCAAAGGGGTTTCCCCTTTTCTTTCCGTTTGGTTTATTTAGGTAAATCACACGAGATACCTCTTTTTGGAAATCTAAATACTTTCTGTTAGTCGATGAGCATCAGCTTCATTTGCTTTAGAGTCGTTGGGACGTAAAGAATTCTTGTGTGACTGTGGCCTGATCCCTTGCGGGGTAGGGCGAGCCTTGTCGCGCGTGCGAGGTCCGATGCCAGCTTCTTTGAGACTTTTGAAAGGGAAGGCGCGGGGAGGTGTGAATGAGGCCAGGGAACGGAAACAGGCTAGTGTTAACTCACTCTCCCCATGTGAAGACAGCAGCACCTGAGGAATATCGAGGTTCTCCAACCCCATACGCGGCACTAGTGCACGTAGCATATTCGATAAGACGAAAATAATGTCTCAGAAGAAAATTTACATCTCTGGCCCAGAGGGTTTTCGTTCGGATGGTGATGCCACTTATTATAATAAGGGAGGGGAGTTTTTGACTGCAAAACAGGTAATCCCAATGATTT